GTGTGTGCAACGTACGGTTTTCGCGATTGAAATGTCAGGTGTAGCGAAAGGGGAGCCGAATTCTGGTCAAAATTATGGGCGGGAAGGCTCTGTCTTTTTTTGTTTCAAAATATGAAGAAAACTGCGGCTGAGTGGCTGATGCGATGTCTCTCGCAGTACTTATGGTGAGTGACTGTATTGACTTGCGAGAACGTGTGCGGCGAGTGGTTTTCAACGCTTGCAAAGAAATGGTGACTTTAACGTGGTAAGACGTGCTAGTGGCGGAAGAAGTGAAAGTTTTTGAGGATGTCAGAATGGAAGGCATTGGCTGAGTGAAGACTCGGCGTCAAACTCAAGGAAGAACTGGCATGGATTTCATTGGGGGTGACAGGCAGCAAAGCGACTGTTCAAAACGTCCTCAAGCCATAGGGGTATGATTTCAAGAAAGCAGGGAAATGGGTCCCCATATGAAGTTTGTAAACCGAGCGACATTGGAAAGGCGTTTTGTCGTGTTTGTGAACATGTTGGGCTTCAGCAGGCAAAAAACGAAGGGTTTTTTCTGGCACGTGTTGGTGAGCCGGACGAAAAATGGGTTCATTACGAATAACCCAAACGGAAAAAATATGGAGGGTATCCCGGCCCATCTTCGCACGTCGACGGCCTAACCGAACCATTCATAGGGTCCAAGATCATGCTCTGCATTTGGTGGGGAACGGGCGAGCTTCGGCGTCGTGTCCATGGCCTTGTTATAAAAACAAGTGAAACAATCACAGGTGATCGCGGATATCGAACGCAATTATTGCGTGTTGAGCGAGGCAATTGAAAGACAAACACCCGGCATACTCAGCGAGAGCATGAGTAAGGTGATTTTGGCCTGGGCATTGACATATTGCTAGGGCCCGACGTTGCAAGAGTGGTCGCAATATGAGTCAGTCCTGAGAACACGTTTGAAAGGAAGCGTCCATAACCCATGGCCGCCGGTATTTTCCAGACAATTGCTCCATCTGGATTATCAACTTGTTGCGATCAATGGCGCGCAACGACCTGGTTGGACAACACTTTCCGATCTTTTGACAGATGTCAAAAAGTGGATTGGATTCGGTGATCGCGCTCCAAAGAAAGTGAAGCAATTTTTTCGACGCGGCAATCACACACTGCCGAAAGGATGGGAAAAGTGGCCAGAGGCGACTGGACATGACTAATTGAATAGATGTCTGTGTAAAGCAATTTTGTTCAAGTAAAGGAGTCATGATTTTTGGAAGGGAAAAACGGCGGTAGGCAAAGTTTGTAGATAGCCTTGTAAAATCAAAAAAAAAAATCTTCTATCAAGGATTAGGTTCATATCAACCTGTTCGGCACCATTTAAGCATGTGGTCTTCAATGTAACGTTTTCTTTTGTCGATATTGGCTTGTCCAAAACTGAAGTCTGCTGCTTGGCATTGCTTCAGTAGATGTTTGCCCCATTTCTTGTTATTTTTGACAGTCTTGTCGAGCACTGGTTTCTATCCCGAGTTCTCCCTTTATAGGGGTCATTATTTCTTTTTTTTATTAAAAATTGTATATCCTAATGTGCTTTTTCAAGATAAATTTCATTTCTACTGGTAACTAAATTTCAAAATTTTTAATATGTTTAATCATCCTTTTAAATATTGAAAATTACAGTCAGGAAATATAGGAATAGGAAGTATCTTAGATACAATGGTTATGAGTTTATACCTCGTCAAACGCAAAGAGTTTCTAGCCAACCATTCTAATTCAGATGACGGTTTACAATAAGGCCATATTCATATATCTTAGATGAAAAGTAAGTTTCTTTCTTTGTACATTATGTTTAATTTTTGTATTTTCAGTTGGTTTGTAGCAGTTTATAACAAGTTATTTGCAATATGAGAGTATAATTAATTATAATGCGTAATTTTTGTCGTGGATATGAATGCATGAAATATCAAGAAAGAAAATCATTTGTCACTGCTCTACTAATTCAGGGAAAAGAGATTCAGATAACCAACTTGTTGGCACACTTTCTAATGTATCCAGGACAATTTTACTAAAATACTTGCAATTCGGTGCTTTTTACAGTAGTTATCTTCCTTCTATTCTCTGTCGCTACAGATTTTGCAGTAACATGAGTGTACAGAGGGAACGCATTACTGGCCTACAAGAAAAGCGCCGGTTTGGAATTGAGGAAGAAGTGCAGCCAGAAAGGAAGCATACGGAAACGGTTCAAAGGGCCCAACTCTTTCCTGCGAAGAAGAAAAGAAGAAGGCAGCAGGCAGCGCAAACTCCCAACCCATATCTTCGGCAGCATGCCGAATCAATGTTGAGCCCGAGGCTCAACCCCAAGCGGCAAGCGCAAGCGAACCAAAATAAGCACAGCATATCAAGGAACAGCTTTAAGAGAACTGTTGAATAACAAGCTAATTAATTTGTAAATTAAAATTTTATCTAACTTCATTTTCCTGGTCTTAGATAACATCAGAATGTCTCGGCAACTTTCACTATGTCAATGTCAGTTCTGTGTCATGAATTCATTTGTAAGTTTTCGATTAATTTGAAATATCAGTTAAATGTTTTAATTTAATCTTAGAATGATAGACACAGGCACTCGCCTAACACGCTCATCGCTTTACAAATAATTAACTATTAGTTTTTCAAAAATTGTCCATGATTCATGATCGTGTAAAACCTTTCATAACGGACAGCAAGAACAACTGCTTCAATAACAATATATTTCCTTCAACCAGAAAACCATTAACTGCTTTTTCGATGCCTGACTTGGACTTAAATGTTATATGATTGAATTTTTCTTTTTTATGGTAAATATCTCTTAAAATAACATTTTAATCCAACAAAACAATATTAAAACTCTCTGGGAAAAAAAGTGTAAAAATTAATCCCTCCCCTTAAATTGGTTTCCTTAAATATAAAATTATTTAATTGGCAACAAAAAAAATCTTACATTTGGCATATTCATTTGCCCATTACATAAGCAAAACTACAACAAATAATATCGTAAAACTTTATAAGCTGGCAGTAAAAACGTAACATAATGTAAAAAAGTGTTTTTGGATTGAGCGGATACAATGAAGTAAGGACACCTTGGCAATTTTGTTTTTATAGAGTTCTAATAGGCGATGCTTTATAATTCATGATCCTGGGAAAACCTATATCACATTTTATTTTTGGGGTCAACAAGTTTACTTGCGGAAGAATTCTTTTATAATGATCAAGGTCATATTTCCAATTGGTGCCCAAATGCTATGCTGTATAGAATATGTTATGGGAGACTGTCAAGTTTTTATATTCTCAAGAACTACAAGCATGGCTATTGGTTATAACCTTTAAAATAACAGCAAATAGAACTGCTTCCAACATCCGGTACAGGCATTGTTACTGCGAAAGGTATTTTATTGCCTTTTCTAATGATTTTGACATCTATGTAACTTCAAGGTCCATATGTAAATAGGTAAGAAATGGGCCATGTCAGTAATATTGCAGTTAAAGGAACGTGATGTAATTGAATTCAGAAAGCCAGTCTATATGCATCCACGAACGTTTAAATAAGTTTTACGGAGATGCTTCAGTGGATGTTAGCACTGTTTGGCGGTGTGTTCGACTCTGCAGAGAAGTCAGAGACGAAGAACAACTTGACGTGGCAGTTGCACCGCGGAGCGGTCGATGGAGATTTTTTTTTTAATTTGTTGCATCTACAGAGATGCAACGCGTCACCAAACTCCTTGGGGGAGGGGGGGGGGCGTTGAGCGCTTTGCGCTTAGAGTAATTAATCCTCCATTAATTGCGCTGGAGTAATCCTCCATTAAGATCGTCATGTCTCGTCGTCAGGAGGACCGCCAGGTAGCATATCCGCGTACGCTCCTCCTACGCGCTCCTGCGTCACTACCCAGCGGCCAGATTTTAGAAAGGGATTAGGATTGGGGGAGGGTTTGGGGCACTTCACAGGGGATAGACTAGCCCTTGTGAAGCAGCCAAACTGGTTTTATTGGAACAAATTTCACGTGAGATTGTCCGGGATCGAGGGGATTCGAACCCGGGCCTCCTTGGTGAAAGGCGAGCGACTTCGCTCTGAGCCTGAGAAATTGAGATCATACGAGAAAATCGCCGGGTAACCACGAGTGAATTGTGTTCTTTAATGTCAATAAGAAAAGATAGAGAAATGGCTATCATTGAAAAGTTTGTGCTCAAAATACTGACCCAATCCAATAAAGATGTATGGAAAACAATAGCCGCTGATCTCATGCATCGTTATGAGATTGAAGGTCAACAGTTCTTATCAGAATTTGTCACAGTTGACGAAATATGGATTAATTTTTTTGAACCAGTGACAAAGAGACAGTCCATGGAATGGCGCAACTTCACGTCACCCCGAAAAAAGAAATCCAAAAGTGCACCCTCTGCAGGGAATGTTATGGCTACTGTATTCTGGGATGAAGAGGGAGTGAGTCTTTTGATGATTTTTGGAGTAAGGAACAACAATTAACTCCAATCGATACGTGGAAACGTTAAAGAAGCTCGCCTCCGGAGAGTTCGTGCTACGAAAAAGCCTTCTGTCATTCTTCTTCTCCACGATAATCAAGGTCCCACTCTTCTCTGCTCACAACTGCAGAATTTCAGTGGGAGGTCCTTCCCCACCCACCTTACAGTCCAGACCTTGCTCTTTCTGACTCATCTTTTCGCACCTCTAAAAGGATGTTTGCGTGGGCATCATTGAAAGTTTGAGGAACGCCGTGCGCCAATGGCTGCAGACGTAGGACAGCAATTTTTACCGCTAGGTAAATGTTTAACGAGAGGGAATACACGCTCTCGTTAAACGTTGAACAAAAACTGTACAATTAAAAGGAGAATATTTTGAGTGATAAATTATTTATAAAGAAAGTTTGAGAAAAAATTCATATTAATTTCCCCTTTTTTCTTTAAAGAATAAATACGTAATAAATTCGTAGACATTTCTTTCTGACTGTCCTTTGTAATTTCTTATATTAGTTTAATATATATTTTTTGGTAATGAACATTTTGAATTAATGAGATTTTTTATTTTGTCTATAAAGTAGCGTTCTTATTACCGATAATACAGATACCACATTATGCAGTATTTCTCTTGTTTGCGTTTGAAAGTAATCACAACAAATACAAGAAAGAAAGCACTTTTATCTGTAAAACAAGTAGATATTTGTTTCAATCTCTACTTTTATGGTAAACTATGAAATAATAATGAATTTTAATAATGAAAATTTATTCTGTAATACCAATTTATATAACATGTTCAATCATTGTTTCATTATTACAGACTTAAAATAAAGCATTGATTGTGATATAATTTTTAATTATTTATTTATATACTGTAAATATTAAACTACTTTAATGAATTGGGGGGAGGGACGCATGACATCAATTTAGTACGTTGCACTAGGGGGGGGGTCAAGAATGGCCAAAAAAGCATGCCGTAATGTATCGATGGCCCCTAACTATAGATTACAGCAATTAAGACATAATACTATAAGGGATGTTGGTCTGTAATTTTCAAGCTATAACGATGCTACCCGATTTATGTATTGAAGTTATGAAATTTTTTTCAGGCAGTTGGAAATAATCCTTCTTGAAGAGATTTATTAAACAGCATGTGTGAACACGATTTTTTTTGTGCAAAAGACTCCCCCCAAGTCAAATGAGCCATAACAAGGTAGTCAAGGAGTTTCACAATTTGTGACAAATGCTAGATTCTGAGCACTTTCTGCATTACTTGTTAAAGTACCCTGCTTTGCTGGATATGTATTATCCACAATCATCTATTAGCAGGAAAAATAATGAATTAGGTGTATAATATATTCCCACCAACCCTCACTGCCCTGCCGGCCCAGTTTCGCCCTGGGATTTATGGATAGTGTTTCAGATGCGCCAATGTCTTTTTACGGGCCCTGACCACCCTTGAGCAGTTCCAAGTTCCACCTCGGAACACAGAGTTGTCGCGGTTGACCGCTCGATTGGGGGATTACAACATTCGCAGCATGTAGCACAGCACTGTGTAAACGTGCTGCCATTATGCGAACACTGCGAAAGTTGGCATCTGACAGACTGACATTCGCATGAAATTTCAGCCAGTCAGGACGTTGTACACACCATTGATGGGGGTCAAGCCAACCCATGAACGTGTCAATGTGTATGATTGTGGAGCTACCATACAGGGTGTCTAGAATAGACCATTGGAGAACGGCAAGTGTTGTTGCAAGTGATTAGCTAGATCGATACACGTATTGGAGTTAGTGGCGATGGCGAAATGAGTTGGTTCATCCGAGTTCATAATTACCAAGTTCGAGGTGTCTGTAACCGATTCCAATATTCCAATATGTCGCCTCTCGAACAACCGCGGGATGAACCCCAAAGACGACTGTGATTTACATCCCCGAATATCAAGAACGGCGAGGGCAGTTGGTTTATGAATCCCAAAATTCATCGGCAGATACACAATCCTGGCGGGATGTAGATGTTGCAGTGAGTTGGGTCCCGAAAGAGATAGTTTCCTCCGAGGCAGAATCCCCTTGGGAACAACCAGGGGGGCTTTCATGACAAGCACTTAATAGTTGGATCGGAGGTAGACACCTGATTGACATCAACTTCCATCGTGATATTTTACAATGTAGTAGATTTCGTTGACTGCGACGGCCAAGATTTTTCTAGCAGGTTTCTTAAATTTGGTTGGTATGATCGCTCTCCAGCATTGAGGGATGCGGTATGCACAGGATAGTCTACTGGGGACACCCGAGACACGAAGTTCACGACTGGGGGGATCTCGCTACTACGTTCGCGGCCTTTGCTTTCATGGCGCAAGACAACCCTGAGAAAGATCAAAAGGGTTACTTGCCTGGTACCTACGTTTGGCCTCAGGGACCAGGACACACCTCAGCGACTGTGATCTCTTTCTTTCAGAAAAGTAGGGTACTGGTTGGAGTTGGCCAGACACCTTCACAGTGAACAAACTGCGGTGATGTAGGAAAGGATTCTGTTTCATGCACAGATTTTCTGCACTTACCGCGCCACGGTCTTTCTGCCATGCATCTTTGTCGTGAATGGCTGAATATTTGGCACTGAAAGCACAACAAAGTGTTTGCAACGTATTATCATTCGCGGAGGTTATAACAAACGGCAGGAGATCCTTTCAAGGAGAAATAGAACATCGAATGACAGTAGAAGAGGGGATTTCTTGCCCCATGCTCATTCCTGTTGATCTTGAAAACGTCTGTCACACCCTGGCTCTTAAAAAGCGACCAATTCTTCCTCTCAGCAGCAAAGTCCTCCTGGTTGACCATTCCCTTATAGAGGTTAAATGTTGGGTGGGTGGTCACTTCCATCTGGAAACAAGCAATCTGCTTGGTTTCCGAATCATTTCGATTTACACTTCCGTGAGTGCTCTGAAAAGAATAGTATCATTCCTTTATCACACCATGACTTTAAGTTTTCCATAGGTTTCCTCAATAGTGCACGGCAAAGGAACAGCACTAACTTTATTGAAAGATTTTCCATCCACGGCGCATGGCAAGAGGAGAAAATGATGCCTCTTCTGTCTTCGTCTTTTAGAAAGAAGTTTTTCAGATCGATACTATTTCCAAACATCCCTTTCTTGCGGAAGAGGGCAGGGGGGAGGGCAATTTGGTATCCATACAATAAACACTAATTTATCTTCGTGCTCCCCTCCCACAATGGAGTCTAACATGGGGACCCCTTGCTAGGGTTCCAGGGTTGACACAAATATAGTGGTGAAGTCACAGCGTTGCCCACTGTGGATCCCCCCCCCTCCCCTCCTTCAAGATACAGAGACCTCCCCTTAGTCACCAGGGCTTACCGGTGTTCGTAGTGTACATGGATAGATCGGGTCCGGTATCAAGGCAAACAGTCAAAAAGCATGCACAGTTCAGCCGCAAAGAACTCCCAATTCACCTTCAAACAGGTCGCCATCCATGGCTTACAGAAAACACCAGTGAGGAAGAAAAAGGGGGTGATAAAAGAATGCAGCTGACATGAAATGAAAGCTAGAAGATAAAAGATGGAGAAAGGAACACATGAGCCTTCTCTGCATTCCATCAGGGTGTGGACCAACCCACCTTGATGGGGAGAAAAAGCGAACAGGAGTTTTCATCTTTAACACCAAATAGCTTCTATTTCACACCAATGAAGATGTTTGGAATGTTGTCATCAGTACTCAGTGAAATTTTACCTTCATTTGATTATTGTACTAGAGAGGGGAAGGAAAGCCATTGGTTAAGAAAATTGGTGTAGGCAAATGCCTCTGTTGTAGCATCACTAATTTAAATTGTCTTTTGTTTCATATTACAAGTGATTTATTGTGCCAGCTATTTGTGAATATCATCACCATGTACAAGCTATCAATAGTAGACACAAAAATTGTTGACTTAATATATGGTGGTTAGAATCCAAGTGGTCCAACCTCCATTTTTAATGAGACTATGTCACGTCTTCCTCCTGAATGCCAGAATGGCCCAAATGTAGTTCTTGTAGTGGCAATCCGAAGGCATCACCAAGCCAACTTTGCTAGCCAAATTCCTTAACCGCACTCTGTGGCCCATGCCGTGAAGTCATGGAAGTTAAGTAAAATGAGACTTTGTGGGTTCTTGGTCAGGTGACCAACTGGGGACTCCAGGATCTAAAGGTGTCGAGAGATAAAAGGCAACAACAGACAATGATTGGCTAGATTAAAGATCCATTACTCCATGTGCTCAATGCCCCAGAAGGGACTTTGAGACACGTTGCAAAGGTGCAACAAATTTAAAACAAGACCTTGCCACATATCAGACCAGCTCTTCAAATAGTGATGGTGCTGTACCATATTACTTAATGGAGAGCTTATTGCGAGAATGTCCAACCTTGGTTCTAACCATTACAGATATGAAACGAACAAGGCAAGATTTAATTTTGTATGAATTAGTTTATTTCTCAAACAAATCTACACATTACAAAACAGCAATCACACATTATCTCCTGAAGAAAAATATCAACATCACTGTATGAGTCTCTCATTGCACAACAAGGATATCAATTTAGAGAACCTTCTGTAAAAGAAAATTCCTTGTGTGAGGAATGCAAACATTTCATGGACCTAAAAAACTAATGTCAAACCTGTACAAGAAGTGTTTCTTTTATGATATAATTATTAGTGGACATGCCCATACAAATAAGAAAAATGCTTCCATTTGGCAGTAATGTTAACAATTAAATCACTTTAACATGAAATTTAAGTTCATGAGAAACATCAAACCAGACAATAACACAACCTGATAGGAGTGTAAATTTGTGATAAGTAAGTTGAGTGAAAATTCATCAACAAGTAGAATTTTTCCTTCATTACTTTTGTTTGCAAGGGCTTGCACTGTTTCAAAAGAACATCCTGGACTCTTATCTTTATTTGGCTTAAATTTAAACAAAAAACTTAACAAGGAATTATACATTAATAAACTTTCAATAAATTTTTGCAGTTTGAGACACACTTTTCTTACAACCAATGAAATCTGAAAAGTCCTTTGCAGCAGCTATCCCGCCACCCCCAGGCAAAGGACATCTTTTGGTCCTACATCCTTTCTCAATGCTCCTCCCACTCTCTTACAGTAGGGACAGAGTCCACTCTTCAGCCATGCTCACTGCCGGTTTCCTCACAACCAATAGATGAGCTGCACTGTTGTACGATGCTTCTAACACATTTGTTCCCATACCTAAACACACAATACAATTATGTACTTTGCAACAATTCCAGCAACTGAATAATTGATACAGCTGCTATTCAACAAAAAAATGACAATTCCTGATAATTTGCTTACCTTTACTTTCTATCCTTGCTTTAGAAACAGCAGATGGCCACCCTATGATAACTACTCGTTCCAGCCACGCTTTGGTGGGGAATTTGCTATTTTTGTCAATGAACCTGCAAACAAATTCAAATTCATATTATATATATGTATATATTTTAAACTTAAGAAAGATATACAGTAGACTCCAGTTATATGGAACTTCTGGGGACTAACATTTTTGGTTCACTATATCCGAGGATTTCAAAATTAATCAGAATTACTCCACGACTGATTTAATTATTATAGAGATATAGTAACATTTATGCTTAAAACATCCATTTCTTTTCATTTGTTTGCTTTGTACTTTTTCATTAGTAATCTCTAAATCCTTATCCTCAGTTCGTGCACTCTGCATAATTGATTCTATATTGTCCTCTTGTCTAAGTACCGTAAAGCACTCTTCACATCCTTAAATGCCTCTTGCACAGTTGGAATAAAATCTGAAGGCCCTTTTATTCATCTAATAATATACGAGATGCGTTAATAATATCGGACATAATGGAGGGATGGTGCAAGAGGCTAATGAAACTGATCGCTTTTCCATGCTGCATGGTGGATATCGCCAGGCTGTGGCAGTCGCGTGTTGCCTACGTAGAATACAACATGTATTGACCCACAGAATATCATGTAACACAAAGATTGATACTGAAGTATGTAATCACATGTCACAGCCAGTTGTAACTCATGCAGGACAGGCCTTTGTTTCCACAGTGAAACTGAGTGGTATAAGGTCATCAGTATGGTGCTCATAATTTTTTTCAAGCTCCCTAGTGTTGGAATTTGTCTCTGAGGTGATGTATTCTTTTAAACGAAGGAATAAATTTCCAGGAAGTTGTATTTCCTACGTTCACTCTTGCTGAGGTTCAGGTTCACTATAACAAAGTCTTCTTATTCTTATTTGTAACGTGTGACTGAAGTCCACTATAACAGAGGGTTCACTATATTCGTAGTTGATTGTACAATCAAAGGAATTTTATGACCGGGAGGGCCAATGCACCTTAAACCAGAAATGGTTTTGAGTAAAGATTATTAATAAATAGAAACAATAATAAATAAATGAAAATACCAAGCGAAGTGGCTCAGTGCGTAGCGTACTGACTTCGTAATCGGGAGGTACGGGTTCAATTCCTGGGCCGGCCATCCTGACCGGGGTTTTCGTGGTTTCCCTCGGTCATAAGGCGAATGCTGGGATGGTTCCAAAACCTTCACGTTCACCTTCAATTTCATCTTCATCGTTGATCTTCCTTGTTCATCACTTCAATTCATCTCTCTTCATTATCCTTCATACTCTATTCATGTCTCTCTTTCACTATTCCTTCACCACCTTCATCATATTTGTCTTTGGCTTCATCATTGTCTTCATACGTCTTCTTTATTAATCTTTTTTACGTCCATTTTTTTTTTTTATCCTTTCTTTTTTTTCTCTTCCCCCCCTGTTTTTTTTTCTCCGTTTTCGTTCTATCGCTGCCGGGCTTCTCTGGTCTCTTTACTCGGCTTTTTTTTTTTTTCTTTATTACTTCAGTTCTTATGTTCTCCTGCATCTTCAATTTTTTCATGATCTCCTTTCTGCTTCTTCATTTCTTTTTGCCATACATTCTTCTTAAGTCTTCCTTTTCTCAGTTTTTTCTTTTCTTTCCTTCAGCTGACGCTAATTAACAATAAATGACAATAGTCCACCTTAAAGGGTAACAGCAACCTGTGGTCGACCAAAAAGCAATAGTGTCTGTGATAAGTACTTGAAGCGCTAGTTCAAACTCAACTAACAAGAACTAGAAGTCAAGATGAATTGTCAAAAATTAGGTGTTATTTTAAGCTAATCGATTGTACCAATATTGCATTACTTTTAGGTGTGTTATGTGGGAGCGGTTTGAGCTTACTGGCCTCGAACTGGGTTACCATCACGGTCATCCATACCGCCGACGTGCCAGATTTTCGAAGAGCGGAAAGACCGACAGTAGCCATGTACTTGTGGCATGTAGAAAGGAAACTCTTGCCGTTATAACCCAACAAAATTAAATATTCTCGACATACAGTTTGGCCCTAATGAGATAGTCACCTTCCCAAGGCATGTTTGATAAATGAACTATCGACGACAGTGGTTGGCGCGAGAAATATGAGAGTCAAATTTACAGGCATATTAGGTGTTGCAAGGCATGCCTGGCTTGATGAAGCGGTGCCCCAGGACCCGGTGTCAGAGGGTAGCTTGCTACAGAAGCCTGGATCAAAAATCTCTGGAGAAGGCAACGGAAAAGCACCCTGATAAAACCCAAGGAAAGACCCACAATGAGTGACCTATTCCCATGTTCGTGAAAGGCAGACCAGAGAAGAGGCATTATTTTCGATCCAATTGAATTTGATGTCACATTAAGATTTCCATTATTGAAGGCGTACAAGTAGATTTAAGGCATCACTACGCAGAAAATGAAGTCGGCATGATGCCAGATATGTTTGAGATGTTTAGACTAGATAAGCTACTTCTTGTTGCATATATTAATGATGAGAAGTAAAATACAGGAAGATAGTGTTTCAAAGGAAAGTTAGCAAATTTATTTACAGGTTGCCGTTGGCAGTCAGTCAAGCATTAGGGTGTCACTGAGCTTTATACATATAGGTGTTGTAGGAAATGTCTTGGCGATTTTTGAAAATTAATGTAAAGATGATTGTCATGGCCAAAACAATGTTTTGTAATTCAAAAGCAGCTTTGTCGAGGCCTTAGGCATCATCCATCGTTGTCTGCTGATGGATAGCCACAAGTAACGACTTACCTATGATGGAATGGCTAAGCCATCGAAATGCTTGCTTTTGGAAATAGCAAAGAACATTGTTAGGCAATGACAGCATCTTTAATTATATTAGGGTGTCATCCTATTGAGTGCTTGAATGTGCACATTATGAATGTCACATATGGCTTTAAAGCTCCTACTGGATGCATCGGTAACAACTGATGCATGTGTAAAGAACACTGTAAAATTAAACAATCAAAATACATGCGATGCTTATAAAAGTCACAAAAGCCAGGAATGACACAGCCATTGTTTTGAATTGCTTTTAGGTTTATCTAAGTAACAATAAGTAATTAAAACAAAAATTTCCATGTTGAAGTTGTTGTAAACAACAGCTTTTCTATTTTGATAATAATTGATGAAAGACATAAAGCCACAGGCATTCATTCCCATATTACTGATGTAATTTGTCAATTGAAAGCCATTTTGGGTCATCCAAAATGACATTAAAGTTCATTCATAGGAGTTTGACTAGATATTGCATTGTGGTACATTGGTTGTTATTATTCTATGATGTATTAGTCTACTTATGTTTCTGCTGTTTCAGGTCCCAGTGTTCAGAAGGAGGGTACCCTATAGTTTCGCTAAGAAAGGAGAGAATGCAGAGCAAGCTCTCCTTTCTGTGATGACCCATTTACTCTCCTGGTGCTTTGGATGGTGAATGTGAGTGGCACATTGAATTATTAATTTTTTTCATTTATATTTTCTAATGTTGTGATTGAGACATGAACCTTGAAGAAATAATAAAGAGGTAATAACAAATGCCTTTACTGGAGGCTATTACCATTGTTTAAGTCCCCGGTAAAATCTTTTCTGCTCCAACTGTTTTCCGTTCAATAGAGACTATACGAAGGCATCATCAAAAGTGAACGTCTAATATTTTGTCAATCTATTATTACGCAATGCTTATTGAATTATTTTTATTACATAATTTACTTGTCTAGATCTCATTTACTAGTGTAATATTCAGCACTGTGTATTTCAGTTATCAGATCATCCGAATAAGTACATGCCTCTCAGCCCTCTGTGGCTCTTCTAATGACCCATGCAACTTACTGTTTATCATATGCTCTTTTGACCAATACTAATGAAAAATTGCCCTTTTTGCTTCTGGTATGGCATGATAACTTCATTACCGCTTCGGGAAGTATAATTCTGCAGATTGCGGCAGAAGTATATTCCATCACAAAATGACACTGATGAAGCGATCAAGACACCCAGTCTATAGGTAATTTGCCTTTGAAAAGATTGTTTATTACATCTAAGTGAATATTTTTGTGATCACTTCTTGCAGAAGCGGCAATTTCTGTTTATTGTCAGAATTCAATGTATATGGTTTTAGGTAGGGATCCAACAATTACACTTCTGCCCGTAGCATATGTCACATACACTTTTTCACATGCAATTTTTGATGTAAAATAAAAACATAGAATGTTAACTACAAGGTTCACTGCTGCCAGAGGCATAGTAAAGTACACGGCAATTAGTACGATATAAGATTGTATTTGCTTTCTCCAGAGTATAACAAATGGATATCCCATCTCCTGTTTTTAACAACAGTAGTTGTCAAATAATCCATTTCCCTGATATCGACTCACTTCTTGTAAAATCCCCTAGCTTTTGTCCTTATTATATATACTGAATTTTAGAATAGTTTTCTTAGGCAAATTTCTTCACCTCTAATATTCTTTTGCCAAAACGCAAATAATTTGTTCCTGTCATATTTCATCTATTTATGTTCAGCCAGGTGTTTGTTGCAGCTCTCACTTTTGTTTTAAGCTGGAGCTAGATATGTTCGTTAATAATATCGGGATTTGAATTATTTTTTAAAATTTGTGCGGAACAAAGTGCTAAAACACTTCAGCATAATGGGCTTATAGATATCTGATATATCATACAGTTCCCTGTGTAACGAGCGTATTTACCGTGCAAAAGCCCCTAAAACGTGGTACAGTTGAGTGAATATACGGTTGTAAGTAAGATTCTGCCCCAATTAGTTAGAATTAGATTTAAGTTATCAAAAACAGTAAATACTGTACATGACTAGGGGGAGAAATCTCTCCGCACAATTTCTGAGTTCCAGAATCCCATCCATAGCATTTTAACTATAAATAGTTATGGAAAAATTAAGAATAAATTATAAATAAAAATAAAATTTCAAAAAAGATGAGATTAGCAAACATTTGAAAAAGCTAGACATTTTAATCATAAATTTTCCAGAGTGTATAGAGAAAACTCATTTGCAACAGTAAAACAACTGCAGATTTGATTTTCTGGCAATTGTCTAAACT